CCGAGCGGGGGAGCGGCAGCCCCCCCGCGGCCCGCGCCACGCGGCTCAGAAGTGCGGCCCAGCCCAGACCAAACCTGTCTCTCTCCTACCCCTCCGTGTGTATAATCTGCACACGTGTATAATCTGCTCTCCACTTTCACCCCGTTTCTCTTTCTTTTCTAGGCATACCTCCTTTCCAACTTCCCCTTTGTGCTAATAACTACTATGTTTTCAGAGCGCTCATCATATGAGGTTTTTAGCGTGTGGATTTTTGAGGCAGAAAATACTTTCTGAGACCTATACAGCTTTTGCATCATCTGCTTCCCCTCACACACCTGGCAACAGCTATATGCTGCACCTTGCAACGACGTGACGCCATCATCCATCCTTCTTCCGCCCTGTAACACTGCGGAGGGTAAGCGGCCCTTCACGGACCTTCTCCTCAGGCCAAGCGATGGAAAGCAAGACCAGTCGCTGTGGTATCAGATCAGGCTCCAGACCAGGGTGGGTTTTCCTTTATATGGCCATAAGGAAATATATGTATTTTTTTGCCCAGAGGTGAGCAAACTGCATGTGCGCGGTCAGGAAGGTACGCTGCCTTGCTCGGCTCTGCAAGGCCACCCGCCCGGCCATGCCGTTGACTTCCTTGACAACGGCACCGTGCAGCACATCTCGCAGATGACGCACAACCTCCAGCCTTCCCACACCGCCTTTTGAGTTAAGTCTTATCTTTGTTATTCTTCAATGGGTGTGACTTCCAGGCTTGGAAATGGGAAGGGGCCTAAGAGTAACAATGACTTCAAAATTAACAAGAAGAACATGAATTAGTTCCTAAAAAGTCTCTTAAGCTGTTGAAGCACACTATACCCTGCCAGTTCCCAGCATGAGCTGTGCCTTAGTCCCCCTAGTTCCCAAGGAAATTAGGGCCCATGAGGTCTGTTGATACCACCTAGCTTGGTGGCCTCTGCAATATTAGAACATGCCAAAGAAGGTAATCGGTGACTTGTCACGTGGTTAAACGTAGCATGAGCAATATTAAGGTGAATTCCTTTTTTTCCCTCCAGGAAAATACCCCAGCCACTGTACCCGCAGGAAGCTTGCCTGACTCCTGGCACAGTAACACGTATC